ATGGAAGGTGGTTAACTTCATCCCAAACAGAAGAAATGGACATTAAAACTACATGAAGATACTGTTTTTTCACCCAGACTGGCAAAAGTCATAAACTTTGATGGTATCCGCAGTTGGTTACTTGAAAGGTATAGGATTCTTCTTTTTTCTTTTTTTTTTTTTTTTTTTTTTTGAGGCAGGGGTTTCACTACGTAGTTCAGGCTGCCTTTGAACTCACTACGTAGCCCAGGTTGGCCTCAAACTTTAAATTTGTAATCTACCTGTCTCAGCCTCCCAAATGTTGAGATTACAGGCATGTGCCACCATGCCCACTAGGTATATAAGTTGTCTTCTTTTTTTTGATACTGGGAATTGAACTCAGGACCTTGTGCTTGCCAGGCAGGCACTTGTGCCACTAAGCTATATCCCCGGCGCCCTGTAAGTTGTCTTAAAGGACAACTGGGAATTATTTATCAAAATGACACACTTGCAAATTTATCAAAATGTATATATGCAAAATAAAGTGCGTAACCGGGCATGGTGGCGCAGGCCTGTAATCCCAGCACTCAGGAGGCTGAGGCAGGAGGATCATTGCGAGTTCGAGGCCAGCCTGGGCTACAAAGTGAGTTCAAGACTAGCCTGAACTGCATAGTGAGACCCTGTCTCGAAAAGCCAAACAAACAAAAATAAATAAATAAAGTGCGTATGTGATTAGTTATCATAGCATCATTTGTGATAACAAAAGACTGGAAACAACTAAATGTCCATCAGTAGGGGCCGAGTCCACAAAATATGGTACATCTGTACAATGGGCTACTAGGTAGCCATAAAAAGGGATTAGAAGTTTATGCAGTTTGGGATAATGAGAAAGTTCTGGAGGTGGATGCTGGTGAGGGTGACGCAACAGTGTGAATGTGCCAAATGCACTGAACTGTACACTTAAAAACAGTGAATTTGAAAAAGAAAATAATGAATTTGAGCCAGGTGTGGTGGCACACACCTGTAATCCTAGCGCTCTGGGAGGCTGAGACAGGTAGATTACAAGTTCAAATCCAGCCTGAACAACTTAGTAATTTCATGAGACCCTGTCTTGAAATACATATAAAGGCTGGGGATGTGGCCCAGTGCCCTGGGCTCAATCCCCAGTATAAATATAGTTAAAATAAAATAAATTCAATTAAATAAAGGGCTGGGGATGCAGGTCAGTGCAAAGGCCCTGGGTATCCCCAGTAACAACCCCTCCAAAAAACGTGAGTTTTTTTTTTCTTTTTTGTGGTACTGAAAACAACCCCAGGCCTTTGCACTGACCTGCATCCCCAGCTCTTTATATATTTTTTAAAAATTCTTAAACAGTCTGGTTAATTTCCTAAATTTCCAGGCTGGACTTAAAGGTATGATTCTCCTGCCTCAGCCTCCCAGAATGATGGGATTACAAGTATGTACCACCATGTCTAACTTGTTATGTATTCTACAATAATTAAAAAATAAAAGAATAAGAAAGATCTATATAGCCAGGCATGGCAGCGCATGCATGTAATCTCATCACTCGGGAGGCTGAGGCAGGAGGATCATTGCAAGTTCGAGAGTAGCCTGGGCTACAAAGTGAGCTCAAGGCCAGCCTGAACTGCATAGAGAGACCCTGTCTCAAAAAGACAAAAAAGGAAAGAAAAAAAAAAAGGAAAGATCTATATATTGACTGGGTCTGTTCCCAGGTACACCATAAAGTTAAAAAGTCAAGCACAGAACAGTGTGTATACTATTTATACATAAACATCTGAGTTTAAACAAAGAAATGTATTCCATTTCTATTGGATGAATAAATCCAATATTCTACTGGATATTCTACTGGAATAGAATATTGGATCTCCATAACATGGAGATGGAACCCAGGCCTCAGACATGCAAAGCAGCTGCTCTACCACTGAGCTAATGCACAGCCCTTTGATTTTGGGACATGGTCTCACTAAGTTGCCTAAGCTGAGCTGACACTCAGTCCTCCTCCCTCAGTCTCCCAAGTAGCTGAGGTTATAGCTTCCTGTGTTTTTACAGCCACAAAATGACTGGATGATTCACAGGCAATTATTTACAACAGTAATGGTGGTCACCTGCTGGAGGGGCAGCTGGGTGGGGGGCAATGAAGCTAGGGAAGGAGGATGCCTCATCATGGGTCTTTTTATACTTTGGGAATTTTTTTTTTTTCCTTTTGTGTGGTACTGGAGAGTGAATCCAGGGCCTCTGCACTGAG